ACTCAGACTTGCTTGCTCTTTCAGACAGTGCTGAGCTTAAATTTACTTTTGTTCAGTTCAGCAAGTGACTATTGAGCAACTACTCTGTGCTGTAAAATAATAGGAAAAAGCTGTAGAAAGATACGGTCCGGTCTGTGCTTAAGAGCTCATTGGGTTAAATGGACATAGATAAATGAAATGTTCCTTTCAAGTTTAATTCTTAGTTCCGGGTACTGTCTAAACTATACTAATGGGCCGTCATGGGGTATTTGAGTCAGTAGTCGTCAAGTGCTCATCAGAATGGGGTGAAATTGCTGTTGAATTTGGAGTCTAGTTTTAACAAAAACCTACCCACTCACTTTTTATTTTCATTTGTTGCAGTTACCCTTGGTTTCTTGCTGTTCATTCTATTTGTCTAAAACCTGGTTGAGAAATGTACAAAATGGACTAGCTCATTTTGAGCTTGTCTGATGTGAAGGTTTGTAGGGTTGGTGGTTTTATTTATTTATGATTGTGAACAGCTGACTCATCAATGAGTTTTTAATGTCCGTGCTTGGAAAGTCTTGCCACCCCACCTACCTGGATTATTGAAGCTACATTAGGCAAGGCTGGAGTTCCTTCTGGCTGGGATTAAAATATACCAAACAAAAACTCCATTCTCTATTATGTGACTTTCTTTGTCCTAGAGCAACTGGCTTTCTCTTTCTGCCAAACATTTTATGTTCCATCTCTGATACTGTTAGAAAGCTTTCTTTTGATTTGAACTGTGGGATCAGAAGAATTCCGTTGGGAGAATATCTGGAACCATTTCCTCTTGAAGACACAGCTGTCTAGATTATCTAGAAGGCAGGGTGGGCAGAGCTATTGGTCTTTCAGAGAAGATCTTGAAATGTCTCTTTTACCTCTCTCTGTGTTTCTTTATGTTGGGAAGAGGTTTAATAGGATATTAAAGAACTGAACATGTATTTAAGAAAGTTGTAATTTTTTTGTTGACACCCCAAATTCCTGTTCATATGACTGGTTCTTGTAAGGCAGAACTAAGGCCCATGAGACTTTGCTGAGGGAGGCAGCCTACTTTTTTAAGGTCAGTTTTTTTCCCCTGTGGGATTTTGTTGGATACTTCGATACAAAACCTGTAATTTACTCTGTAATCAAAGCTGAGATCAAAAGAAAGTGTAGTTACCTGAGGTCTCTTAGCATGAAAGTAGATGGCATTAAAATTTAGAATTAAAGAAAAATTTTGTTTAATAACTTGCAATTGAAACCTGAGTTTTTAACAGCAGAATGCTATTTGAAAAGTGGCCCCAAATTGTAGTAGTAACTATGATGTCTCTTAGATCATTTTTAAATATATGAAAAAAAGCAACAACTAAATTCGATTTTTCATTTATTAAATGTAAAAAGCAATAGTCGATGTCTCTGCATTCAGAAAGTCTCTTGCTTTTAAAATTTAGGAATATTTGGAAAATTAACTTTAAAAAAATTTAGGAATATTTGGAATGAAATGTTAGGAAATTGAATAGAAAAATAGGTTTTGCCTTTTGAAGAACAGAAGAAAGCACTTGTTAAAAGTACATTGCTTGAGTTTTGTGAAGACTTATTTCTGAATTTTGTGATAAATTTGACGTCAAGAAGATTTGAAATAATGCTCTCTGATCTTTATTTCAAAGAAACTAACTTCTGAGGATGTGAAAAGCTTATTATATCGTGGTTTTTAAGATGGAAGGGCTTGGGGCCAGCCTGGTGGCACGTCGGTTAAGTTTACATGTTCCACTTTACTGGTTCGGATCCTGAGTGCAGACCTATGCACCACTTGTCAAGCCATGCTGTGGCATGCGTCCCACATAGAAAGTCAAGGAAGTTGGGCATGGATGTTAGCTCAGGGCCAGTCTTCCTCAGCCAAAAAGAGGAGGATTAGTGGCAGATGTTAGAGGCAACCCAAAATATTTCTGAAAATCAAGGACTCTGAAGAGCACAGATGGTGAGATTTGTAGTTCTGATGTAATAGATCAGAAAGGAAAAACAATTCTGTAGAGAACTCCCCCCCCCTTTTTTTTTTTTTGCTTAAGAAGATTAGCCCTGAGCTAACTTCTGTGCCAGTCTTCCTCTATTTTATATATGGGTTGCTGCCATAGCATGGCTCATGAGGGGTGTAGGGTGCCCGTGATCCAAACCCACGAACACAGGCCACTGAAGCAGAGGGTGCCGAACTCAACCACTAGGCCACGAGGCTGGTCCTCTTTTTTTCTTTTTAAGTTTAATCTCAGGTTTAACCTCAGGAATGTAAGAATCTTACAATTTTAATAGACAGTGTTTCCAGAAGGCCTGAATTTGTCTTTGGATTAAAAATTGGTCACTAAAATTTGTCTTTCTGTCATAAAACTTTATAAACTATTTTTGGTTCATTTGTCTTTAAGTAAAAGCAGTTCTCGAAACAGCACTCTGCGTTGGATTACTGATTCTAAGTATCAATACTAAATTGGTTTGAATAAAGGGAAAGGAAAGTTGTATGAATTTAAATTTACATAAGTTGGGCTGCTCTTGGAACAGAAAGAGAGCTGTTTGTATTCCCTCACTAAGGTAGAAATTTGGAATGGGGTGAATTTCCATTTGGGGAAAAATAGTAGAAAATTGCTAAACCAAACCAGTTTCTAGTAGAGATGTTGTTCGTAGTGATTAGCGAAATAGAAAGGGATCAGAAGACCTAGGTTTGAGTCCTAACTCTGCAGTTTACTCCTGAGCGGTCTTGGGCGGTTGCCCTTAGATCAGTCAGTCTTTTTTTTTTTCTTTCTACTTTTTCTCCCACAATCCCCAGGTACATAGTTGTATATTTTAGTTGTGGGTCCTTCTAGTTGTGGCATGTGGGACGCCACCTCAGCATGGCCTGATGAGCAGTGCCATGTCCGTGCCCAGGATCCAAACCGGTGAAACCCTGGGCAGCCGAAGCGTAGTGCGTGAACTTAACCACTCGGCCATGGGGCTGGCCCCTCAGTCAGTCTTTCTAATGAGCATGCGTGCATTGCCATTCCTGGAGCTTTGTTGTCCTCACCTGTAAAATGAGAAATGATAATACTCTTCTGTTGTGTACCATTGTATGCTAAATGTCACTGATAGGAGCGTGTCATACATGCAGTCCTTATAGAAGCAGAAGAAAGATTGAAGGCCATTGCCGGTTGTCAACACTAAAGTCTATCACCTGATGAAGGTGATTTTTTTTGGATGGATCTATTTTGAAATTGGCATTTGAATTGAGCCTATTTTAAGAAGGCATCTTTGGGGTCGGCCCGGTGGTGCAGCAGTTAAGTGTGCACGTTCCGCTTCTGGTGGCCCGGGGTTTGCCGGTTCGGATCCCGGGTGCGGACGTGGCACCGCTTGCCAAGTGCCATGTCCGTACCCGGGATCCGAACCGGCAAACCCCGGGCCACCAAAGCGGAACGTGCACATTTAACCGCTGCGCCACCGGGCCGGCCCCCACAAATGACTTTTAAAACTCAACAATAAGAAAACAAGCAGCCCATTTAAAAACTGGACAAAAGACCTGAACAGACACCTCACCAAGAAGATATATAGATGGCAAGCAAGTAAGCTTATGAAAAGATGTTCAATTTCATATGTCATCAGGGAATTGCATATTAAAACAGTGAGATACCAGGGCCCGGCCTAGTGGCTCAGCAGTTAAGTTCGAATGTTCCACTTTGGTGGCCCGGGGTTCGCCGGTTTGGATCCTGGGTGCAGACCTATGCACTGCTTGTCAAGCCATGCTGTGGCAGGTGTCCCACATAGAAAGTAGAGGAAGATGGGCACAGATGTTAGCTCAGGACCAGTCTTCCTCAACAAAAAGAGGAGGATTGGCAGGTTAGCTCAGGGCTAATCTTCCTCAAAAAAAACAAAGACAAAAAAACCCAATGCGATACCACTACACACCTGTATGGCCAGAATCTAAAACACTGCCAACACCAAATGCTGATAAGGATGTGAAGCAGTAGGAACTCTTGTTCATTGCCAGTGGGAGTGCAAAATGGTGTAGCCACTTGGAAGATGGTTTGGCAGTTTATTACAGAATACAGGCTTACCATATGATCCAGCAGTCATGCTCCTTGGTATTTACTCAAGTGAGCTGAAAACTTATGTCCACACAAAAACTTGCACGAGGATATTTATAGCAGGTTTATCCATAATTGCTAAAACTTAGAAGCAACCAAGGTGCCCTTCAGTAGGTGAATGGATAAACAGTGGTGCATTCAGACAATGGAATATTATTCAGGGCTGAAAAGAAGTGAGCTATCAAGCTGTGAAAAGACATGGAGGAAACTTAAATGCATATTATAAGTGAAAGAAACCAACCTGAAAAGGCTACATGTTACATGATTCCAACTATGTGACATTCTGGAAAAGGCAAAACTATGAAGACAGTAAAAAGATCAGTGGTTGCCAGGGGTAGGGGGGAAGAAGGGATGAATAGGCGGAGCACAGAGGATTTTTAGGGCAGCAAAACTATTCTGTGTGATAACCGCAGCGGTGGGTAGTTGTCATTGTACGTTTGTCCAAACCTAAAGAATGTACAACACCAAGAGTGAACCCTAATGTAAACTGTGGACTTCGGGTGATAATGAGGTGTCAATGTGGATTCATCGCTTGTAGCAAATGTACTACTGCAGGATATAGATAGTCGAGGAGGCTGTGTCTGTGTGTGGGGTATATGGGTACCCTCTGTATGTTCTGTTCAATTTTGCTGTGAACCTAAAACTACTCTAAAAAATAAACATTTATTAATCTAAAAAATTTTGTCAAAATAAAACAATAATATGTGACAGAGACCATGTGTGGCCTACAAAGCCTAAAATGTTTATTATCTGGCCTTTTACAGAAAAAGTTTACCAAACCCTGGACTGTATCCCAGTGGAACTAGGAGATGAGGTGCTTAGTTTCTCTCTACTGTCATGCCTGGTCCTCTAGTTCTCCTAGGTACTCAGTGTCTCTAATGGGAAAGTTGTTCTCATGAATTTCTGTTTCATTTGCAGGTATATGAGTGACCTAAAGCTGCAGATTAAAAGGGAGAGAGAGCAGTGCCAACTGCAAGCAGGGCAAGGATGCCAATTCCTCCTCCCCCTCCACCCCCGCCTGGTCCTCCTCCACCTCCCACTTTTAACCAGGTAGGTAATCCTTCCACCTGGCTGTCTCAAAACCTCAATGAATACTTGGGGCTTCCTAGTATAAGACAGCATACTCAAAGACATATGGTATAGGACGATGGAGAATTAACAAGTCAAGTCTGTCCTCATCAACTAGGTTGTGATTCCTGAGAGGTCATCTTAGAACCATAGTGGCTTATCTAGTTTTCTCGTCCTGGTTCAGTCTAAAGGGAGATTTGTACAGGTGATATCAGAGTGGGAACTAGTGCTTCTCCCCTAAACTATTTTATAAAGGTCAGTGTGTCATTTCTCTGGCATCCTTGAGAAAAGGTATGGCAATTCCTGGTGTTTGTTTCTTGCTGCCGTTTCATCTCCTTTTCTTCTACTCCAGATCAGTTAGTTTTACAGCCAAGTCCATCAAGTCTAATACACCATCAAGAAAGAAAGGAGTTTATGGAACATATTAGTAAAAAGACTTAAAGGTTCGATAATGGGCGGAAAAAAAGCAGTGTGGCTTCTGAACCAAGGAGGTAGCCACTTTTCCAGTTGTCCCCCCATATCCACAGGGGATTGGTTTCAGGACCTCCGTGGATACCAAAATCCAAGGATGCTCAAGTCCCGTATATAAAATGGCATAGTATTTGCATATAACCTGTGCACATCCTCCCATATACTTTAAATCATCTCTAGATTACTTATAATACCTAATACAATGGAAATGCTATGTAAGTAGTTGTTCTACTCTATTGTTTAGGGAATAATGACAAGGAAAAAAGTCTGTACATGTTCAGTGCAGACACAACCCTCACAGGCCTTTCAGTCAGCGGTTGGTTGAATCTGTTGATGCGGAAATGGCAGATACAGAGGGCCAACTGTACTATATCTGGATTGTGATATCTAGTGTCACATGAAGAAGAAGCAACCTGGATGCTTTTTCTCATTTTTGTAAAATTTAGAAGCAAGAGTAACTTTAGAGAATGAATATCCTGGAAGTGTGTGTTTGTGTGTGTGTGAGGTGTTTAACAGATGAGAAATGGTTCCCTAAAGAAGAAAAGTGACTTGTATAGCTAATTTATTTCAGAACTAGGACTAGAGTTCAGGTCTACCGACTTGTTTTTTCCCCTTAACTTCTGGTTTTCAGACATTTTATTTGAGGATATGTATGAACCCCCTTTTTGGATGAAATTTTATGTGGAAGTGCAATAAGTGAAGTAGATAAAAGCATAGCTGCTCCACTTATAGTGGCATTCAAGGACCCAAAGACTGTGCTTCGATCTCTATAACTTCTTGGATTACTGCCCTACATTGTGATTTACTCAACAGCCTTTTACTGGGGGCTTACTATGTGTCAGGGACTTGGCTAGGCATACAGTTAGAAAGTCCAGGTAATTTTACTCTGTGCTTACATATTGCTTCACTCTTTTACAGTGATAACTTATTTATATAATTAAAGAGAGGAAAAATATGCAGATAAGCAAAAAGAAGCAAATAAAAATCATCTGTAATACCATCACCAGAAATGAGACAGTTTCTGTTTTCAAGGCTCCCAGTGCAGTGGGTCAGACAGACAAGTCAACAGGCAAATTCTCTGCTATGCAGAGATAAAGAGGGCCACAAAGAAGGGCACCTCACCTAGTGGTTGGAGGGAGAGGAGGCAGTCAGAGAAGGCTTCCAGTAGGGAGGTGATACTTGAGCTGAGTCTTAAAAGGTGGGTAGAGTTTAGCCAGAAAGAGAAGAGGGAGGGAGGGCATTCGAAGTTGAGGAGGTAGCCTGTGGAAGGGTGCTGATTTGTGAGAAAGCACCTAGAGGTTTAGATTATTGCTTGAAGAGCTATGGTGAGAGACGAAGCTGGAGAGGAATGGGCTGGAGTTTGGATTTTTCTTCTTCTGATGATAGGAAGGTGTGTATTTCAGCAGCAGGAGTAACCTGGTTGAGTTTGTATTGGAAAGATCTTTCTTAACAGTGTGGAGAGTAGGTTGTGGGTTGAGACTGGAGACAGGGAGGCCGAAACTAGAGACAGAAGCCTATTGCAATTGAAAATTAAGGGTCTGGACTAAAGCAGTGAGGATGGAGAGTGGAGACAAGAAACACTTATCTTAGAGTTTGATGGCACTATCTAGAAGAGTGAGGAGAGGAAGGAGATTTGAATGACTCTAGTTTGGGGGCTTGGTTGAATGACGGTGCTATTTACAAAGAGAATACGAGCTCAACTTTCGACACGTTTGGTAATATTTTAATAATATTTTTCTCTTTACAAAAGTAATATGTTCAAGAAATTTATGAACTATGGATGAGCAAAAGGGAGCAATTACCCATAATCCAACCATTCATAACAGTTTTATATATATCCTTCCTCTCCTCCCTCCCTTTTATCTATCTACTTTTTTAAAAAAGAGGTTATGCTATATATACATACTGATTTCTAATCTCTTCTTACTCAATACATCGTGAATGACTTCTCATATCATTAAATGGTTAGTGATACCATTAGAACATTTTTTACTGTACTGAAAATGTGGAAAAAATTAGAGAATACCAATAAAAATAGAAAATGTTAAACTATCTATAACCTTTGTTAACATTTTAGATGTTATATATATTTATTGTAGGAAAACTGGAAAATACAAATAAATGTAAAGAATTACTACCTGAAATTAACTTTTGCTATTATCAGTGTATATCCTTCCAGAAATTTTCTATATGTGTGTACCTTTTTTCTTCCAAATAATAACCTAGGTATTGTTTTTTGAGCCCCTATTATACACCAGGCACTGTGCTAATTAAGCTCTTGAAAAGTGTTATATTTCACTTTATTCTCAAAACTACCCTAGATAGTTTTGATAGGTTCTCTTGATGGTCCTGTTCTATAGAATAGAAAGTGAATTATGTTGCATATATTGTTTTATGCTTACTTGATTGTGTTAAACATTTACTGCTACGTAAAGATATTTACTTGTACATCTTTAAGAACTTAACTGGCATCCCATTGTATGGTTATACCATCATTGTTCCTTTTGGTTGAACTTTTAGATTATTTTCAGTTTTATGCTATTATAAACTTTTTGCTATTATTAACATCTTTGTGCACTGCTCCAATTGTTTTCTTTTTTTTTTTTTAAAGATTTTCTTTTTTTCCTTTTTCTCCCCAAAGCCCCCCGGTACATAGTTGTATATTCTTCGTTGTGGGTCCTCCTAGTTGTGGCATGTGGGACGCTGCCTCAGCGTGGCTTGATGAGCAGTGCCATGTCCGCGCCCAGGATTCAAACCAAGGAAACACTGGGCCGCCTGCAGTTTTCTTAAAGTTAATTCCTAGAAGTAGAATTCTTGTGCTAGACTTTATAAGGGTGTTTGATACATAAATTACGTTCTGGAAAGATCACCCAACTTGTCTTACCCCAGGTAGTACAAGAGTACTTGTTTCCCTGGATCCTTATTGACTACCGTAGGACAGTTATTTATTCTACACGTTTTTTTAATATCCTCACTGTGCTAGGCACTGTACAACAGTGATCGGTGGACCCTGCCTTCATGAAGCTAGCAGTCTCTTTAGTTACAATTTTAACTTTTACCAGTTTCATTGGTAAATAATGATACTGTGTTTTAGCCTGCATTTTTTATTGTAATTGAAAAATTTTTTCATATTTGCTGGCTCTTTGATTTCTTTTATGCAGTATTGTTCATATTCTTTGCTTGTTATCCTATTGATTCATAAGTCATATTTATATGTTAATGCTCTACAGATTTAGGACACTACCTTTGTGTCTGTCGTATGTTACATTCGTCACATGTGATTTTTCCTTCCCGTATGTCATCTGCTTATTTACTTATATTCCTAAGTAAATAGTTTGTAATAGGCAAGTCTGTCAATCTTTTCCTGTATTTTAGTTGTCATGCTTTCCTTTCAGTTGTGTCCTTCCCCTTACCTAATTTTTTAATATACATTAATCCCCCCCTCATGTGCAGGGGATATGTTGCAAGACCCCCAGTGGATACTTGAAATCACGATAGTACTGAACTCTATATACTGTTTTTTCCTATACATACATACCTATGGTAAAGTTTAATTTATGAATTAGGCACAGTAAGAGATTAACAACAATAACTTCTCTTTGGCATATCTGAATTGCCGACATCACTACTCTTGCACTTTGGGGCCATCATTAAGTAAAATAAGGGTTGTTTGAACACCAGCACTACAATACCTCAACAGTCGATCTGATAACCCAAGATGGGTGGGTAGCATATACAGCATGGATACACTGGACAAAGGGATGATTCATGTACTAGGCAGGATAGAGTGGGATAGCGTGAAATTTCATCACACTACTCAGAACAGCATGCAGTTTAAAACTTATGAATTGTTTATTTCTGGAATTTTCCATTTAATATTTTTAGACTGCAGTTGACCATGGTAACTTAAACTGTAAAAAAATGAAACTGTGGATAAGGGGGACTACTGTAGTATCTTTAGTTTACATTTTATAATTCAGCTAGAATTTGAGAGTAAGCTATGAGGTAGGGATTTAATTTTGTTTTTTTCCAAAAATTAATAAGTTGTTATTAACAGCTTGTTTTTAGTAATCTATGCTTTCTGCACTGATGAAATATACTTTTATTATTTCTTATATAGACCTAGGCTTACTTATGGACTTCCTGTTGTGTTCCATTTATCTAGCTGTCTGTCCCTGTGCTCCTGTTGTAGTTGGTCCTAGCCTTTAGTGGTGCAAGTACCATTTTCATAGTTTTTTCCAAATACTTAGTCTTCCAGATGGATTTTAGAAGAAATTTTTTTTTTTTTTTGCAAGATTAGCCCTGAGCTAACCTGCCAATCCTCCTCTTTTTGCTGAGGAAGACTAGCCCTGAGCTAACATCCATGCCCACCTTCCTCTACTTTATATGTGGCGCGCCTCCCACAGCATGCTGGCCAAGCAGTGCCATGTCCGCACCTGGGATCCGAACCAGCGAACCCCGGGCCACCAAAGCAGAATGTGGGAACTTAACTGCTGCACCACCGGGCCGGCCCCTAGAGGAATTTTTTAATGGTTTCCAAAAGATTCCATTGGGTGTTTTAATTTAAAAAGTTCTACATTTGAAAACTTTGTAAGGGACATGGTATTGATGTGTTGTATTTAGGTATGTGTAGGATATTCATTTGGAGATGTCCTATAGGCATTGGCATATATTGGTATAAAGCTCAGATCAAGGAGTGGGGAAAAGATATAAAGATTTGAGATTTTGGGGGTTATAGGTGGTATTCAAACCCTGAGACTGGATAAGCTTGCTTAGGGATATTTAGATGGAGGCTGAGGATAGAATTCTGTGAAATGACGTTTAAGAGGTAGGTAGAGGATGAAGAACTTGAAAAGAAACAGAATGTTGTTGAAAGAGACAGTAGGGAAAGTGGAAAAGACATGGGCTTTGATGTTGTCAGACAAGCCTTCAGATCTCAGCTCTGCATTTACTAATCATGTGGCTAATTTTCCTCACCTTTGTTTCCTCATCTTTGGAATGGGAATAATACAGTCTATTTTATAACATTGTTTAGAGAATAAATTGAAGTAATAGGGAGGCAATCAGGTATGTTAGTTGGGATAAGATATGAATTTTAGAGTCACTGTCTGGGTTTGGATCCTTTCTTTACTATTTACGGGATTCATGGCTTTAGTAAACTGTCAGCCTTTGGCCCCCACTTTCCAAATGAATAATGATAATAGTACCTTTCTCACAGGAATATTGCAAGATTTAAATGAGATAATGCAAGTAATGTTCTTAGCACAATGCCTGAGGCATAGTAGGGACTCAATGAATGTTTGTCCTGATGATGATGATCATGATGATGATGATGATCATGATGATGATGGTAGATGTAAAGCCTGTAACACACAGCCCAGCACGTAGGTACTCAGTAAATAGTAGTATAGGCCTCCTATCAGAAGGTGCTGATTAAGAGGGAGACTGATCACTTTCACAGAAGGTACAGTAGGAGAAAAAGGATAGAGAGCGATAGTGCACATTGTTACTGTCGTTTGGCACATATATCTGATTAGATTAGAGAAGCATCTCATGGAATCCAGTTTGGCTTAAGGTATTTATCCCAAGCTTTTGATGAAGGGAACTATTTAGGATGAACTTATATTTCCCTCTTCCTCCAGGCAAACACAGAGCTGCCCAAGCTGAGTAGAGATGAACAGCGGGGTCGAGGTGCCCTCTTACAGGACATCTGCAAAGGAACCAAGCTGAAGAAGGTGACCAACATTAACGATCGGAGTGCTCCCATCCTTGAGAGTGAGTCTAAGCTTCATTTCCTAGTGAACCACCAGCATCCCAGGATTGACTTGGAGACTTAGCTGGCTTGTCATATTTATTGTTGGGGCTTGAGTGGGAGAGTTTTGTGCTTTGGGAGAGTTTTCTTTGCCTGTCTTCTTATCTGTTCATTTGAATACCTTAGAAATTTCTTTTTTACCTTTGGGAAGCATTCTCAGGATTAAGACTCCTATCTCCTACTGTAATTAGTGCTGTTTAGGGCACATCTTTGGCTGTTCTCTGGGGAGACTACCACATTCCCAAAAACTGCTAAGCTAAAGCCAATGATGATTTTCTAATTGCTACAAGTGTCCATTCTGATAGGCCTATGGAGAGTTTGCTCACACCTGGGTCCCCTGAGTCATTGGCACCCTTACCAACTGGTACTTGGAGAGGAGAGCTCAGAGAACTCTGTCGAACATGTCTTTGTCCTGGTTATCCCTCTGCCTTAAAAAGGGAAGATTGGCTCTTGTTTCTTTTGTTGTCTCTCTTTCATCACAGTGAGGAGTTTCATCTCCACGTGAAGTTGTGGAGCAGTGGCCTAGCCTTTATTTATTAATGGGAAGGCAAAAGCAAGATTGCTTTGTTTGCAAATTAAAGCCCAGATAGAGGAGGGATTTCTCCTCAGAATTGACTTGGTCATCAGCTCAGAGCATATGAAGTGAAAACCCTAATGGTATGCTTTCCAGAACCCAAAGGAAGCAGTGGTGGTTACGGCTCTGGAACAGCTACCCTGCAGCCCAAGGGAGGTCTCTTCCAAGGAGGGGTGCCAAAGCTCCGACCTGTGGGAGCCAAGGATGTTTCAGGTACCTCATAAGTACTTTCTTGGCACATTAATTTCTGACTGGTCCCAAGTGAGCCATCTGGGGTTGAGGAGTGTGGTAGAGGTGGTAGGAAGGAGGCAAGGAAGGAGGGGAGGAGTTATAGAATGGAATAAAGCAAAAGCTGAGGAATTAAATAAAAATGTATTCAGCTTATATCAGCAGTATTTGTTAATGGGCCCTGAGCCTAAAACCAGATTAAAACCCAGAACTATACAGGTACTTTCCCTGCTACCGTGCTGATTGCTCTAGGAGGCTGGGTGAAGTAGGGATACTGACCAACATATATCTGGCTCTGTTGACCCAGTGCTGTCTGGTGTGTTTGTAGAGAACCTAGCTGGTAAGCCAGCTCTACAGGTCCCCAGTTCTCGAGCTGCTGCTCCAAGGCCTCCAGTGTCTACAGCCAGCGGGCGCCCTCAAGATGATACTGACAACAGCCGAGCCTCTCTCCCAGAACTGCCCCGGATGCAGAGACCCTCATTACCAGACCTCTCCCGGCCTAATACTACCAGCAGTACGGGCATGAAGCACAGCTCCTCTGCTCCTCCTCCGCCACCCCCAGGGCGGCGTGCCAATGCACCCTCTACACCTCTGCCTATGCACAGCAACAAAGCCCCAGCCTACAACAGAGAGAAACCCTTGCCGCCCACGCCTGGACAAAGGCTTCACCCTGGTCGAGAGGGACCTCCTGCTCCACCCCCAGTCAAACCACCTCCTTCCCCTGTGAATATCAGAACGGGACCAAGTGGCCAGTCTCTGGCCCCTCCTCCTCCGCCTTACCGCCAGCCTCCTGGGGTCCCCAATGGACCCTCCAGTCCCACTAATGAGTCAGCCCCTGAGCTGCCACAGAGACACAATTCTTTGCATAGGAAGACAGCAGGGCCTGTCAGAGGCCTGGCACCTCCTCCACCCACCTCAGCTTCCCCTTCTTTACAGAGTAATAGGCCTCCTCCTCCAGCCCGAGACCCTCCCAGTCGGGGAGCAGGTAAGTGCCTGGAGGCACCTTTTTTCCCTTTCTTACAGAAAGTTGAGTTTATCTTTTCTCTTCAACCTTTTCCCCAAAGCTCTCCTTCAGTGACTGAAGAGAATAAGAATTCACTTACTCATTCATCAGGTTTATTGAGTGCCTTTTTATGTGTTTGGACTGTGTTGTTAGGGAAACAGCAATAAATAGAAAAGACAAAAAATTCCTGTTCTCTTGGACAGTCAAGCAAATAAATTAGTAAAAAAATGTGTAAATACATAGTATGTAGGTGCTTTAGAGAAATACAAAGCAGAGAAGGGGATTAGGATATACTAGGGTGGGGATGGAGTGATGATATTTTCAGTTGCAGAGGTGGGGAGTGAAGTAGGGTCAGGGAAGGGCTTACTGATAAAGTGACAGTTTGGCAAAGACCTGAAGAAAGTGAAGGGAGTAAGCTAAGCAGGCATTGAGAAAGCAAACGCAAAGGCCATGAGACTGAGGACAGCAAGGAGACCATTGTGGCAGGACTAGAATGAGGGAGAGGGAGAGTGTCGGGACTCGGAGGTCAAAGAGCTAGATTTCCATGGGAGAACATTGTAGGACTTTGTAAAGACTTTGGGTTGTACTCTGTGTGAGATAAGGAGCCGCTGGAAGGGTTGGAATAGGGGAGTAGGATTGATTGACCTTCTCAAAAGATCACTAGCTCCTGCGTTGAGAACAGACTTGCAGGAGGACAAAGGTGGCAAAAGGAGACCACTTAGGAGGCTGTTGCAATAAACTGGGCAGGTGGGTAGGACCACAGCAGGTTTGGGGGAAGGGAGAACAAGTCAAATTTGAGATACCTGTTAGGCATCCAAGAGGAAATACTGAATTGGTGATTGGCTATCAAACTCAGAAGGGAAGTTCAGATGAGAGGTCTGGCTAGAGAGAGAAATTTGAATGATATTGAAAGCCACATACTGGGTGAGATCACCTAGGAAGTGAATATAAATAGAGAGGAGATCTGAGACCTGAGGTCACAGAGGTGAAGAACAGCAAGCAGAGGAAGCTGAGAAAGAGTCTCTAGTGAGGAAGGAGGGAGGGACACCAGGAGAGTGATGGAAAAACTCCAAGATAGAGTGAGTGATCAACTGTGTCCAGTGCTGCAGATGAGTCAGGTAAGTTGAAGACTAAGAATGACATTGATCTTGGCAACAGGGGAGTCTTTTTGAGGGACCCCCAAACAACATGGGACCCTTTTGAGTAGTTTTAGTAGAATGGTAGAGGAAGGGTGATCATGGAAGTCTAATTGGGATGGGCTCAAGAACGCAGGGATAGGAGAAGAGGAATTGGAGATAGCAATATAGACATCCCTTAGGGAGTTTGCTGTAGAGGGGAGTGGGGGTGCAGATGAATGGTTGCTGGAGAAGGATGTGGGATTGAAGATTGGGTCCCCCCCTCCAAGAGGAGAGAGACTTCACCATCTGTATACTGGTGGAATGATCCAGTAGAGAGGGGGAAAATTTCCTGAGTAATGTCCTTGAGGAGGCAAGAAGGAATGGAATCTGATTCATAGATAAGGGGTTGATCTTAGATAAGAACACAGATAGTTCTTCTGTGGTAACAGGAGGGAAGGCAAAGCATAGAGGCATAGAAGCAAGTGGGTAGGTGGACGTAGTGATAGGAGCATGTGGAAGGTTTCTTCTGATTTGCTTCTGTTTTCTTGGTGTGATAGCAAAGACATCTGCTGTGAATGAGGGAAGGGAAGAAGAGGGAGATGTGAGAGAGAGAAAAGGGCATGAAGTGGTCATCTGGAAGTGTGCGAGAGTGAATGGAGTAGGGAAGTGTACTAGGATAACCAGCCACAGGAAGGGCCACTCGAGATTAGGGACCATACATTTAAAGTGAGGTGTGTGTTCAGCTGTGCATGTGCAGGTACTGAGTAGGGGCAGAGTTGTATTTAACCAGGGTTAGCATTTTTTAGGGGAGAGTTGGGCAAGGGAGTGTGTAAGGGAGTGATTGTAACAATGGGCCATAGCCCTAAAATGGGTGAGGAGGGGATTAAGGAACCCTAGAAAAGGTAGACGAGGTTGTATAATCTTTTTACAAAATAGCATGACAAATTAGAGGGTGAAGGAGACCATGACGGCTGTCTAGGGCCTTCTTAGAACCAGGAATTTTGGCTTCCATATCCTCTTGTATCATTGGGCTTTGAGCCACACCTTCCACAAATGGCTTTTGAGCTTTTATTTTAAACAATCAGTCTCTGCAGGTATAGATCATTGATTAAGAAGTTCTGTCCTCAAGAAGCCTGTATTAAAAGCGCATTAACTTGTCCTGCTGCTTGGTTAGGTACATAGAGATTTGTAGTGTAGGAGCTGGCAGTCTAACATAAGGCACTTGTGCAGTAGCCTGCTGTGTTCCTGATCCCGTGTCTCCCTGGCTTTAGCTGTAAGGATACAGTCCTAAAGTGGACTTTGATTCTACAAAGTTTAGGTTTAAAATTATTATTTTTTCGTTTTGAGGAAGATTAGCCCTGAGCTAACATCCACAGCCAATCCTCCTCTTTTTACTGAGGAAGACTGGCCCTGAGCTAACAACTGTGCCCATCTTCCTCTACCTTATCTGTGGGACACCTATCACAGCATGGCTTGCCAAGCAGTGCCATGTCCGCACCCGGGATCCGAACCAGCAAACTCCGGGCCACTGAAGTGGAATGTGCAAACTTAACCACTGCACCACCTTAACTTTTGTTAACTTTTGTTAACTTTTTTTAAAAAAAAAGTTAAAATCAAGTTTTTTGATTTTAACTTAGGGATTTTTGAAAGACCCTTTATCCGAGCAGTGCCCATATCTTTCCAACGCTATCCAGGACTAGAAGTGGAGAAAAATGTAATTTCTCTGCATTGAACTGAGTAGTTTTAAATGTCTCCGTACTTCTTGCTTTCCATTTCTCAGTTCTTTCTTTGTGGTTTCTTTAGGAAAATGTGAAGTTATGAACCCTGTTCTTCTGTCTGTTGGGCATCTCCAACTTTGAGGGCTGGTAGAGGCCTCAGTCTGCTTTCCTCGTCAGTAACCAGAGCAGCAATTCTTAAGAATGACACACTGGAAAGAAATTGAGTTATTTTAGTCAGATCTTTTGAGTATTGGCTCTCTTTGTTGTGTGACATTGGGAAGATCACTCTGATTCTCTGAGTTTGTTTCCCCATCTGTAAAATGGTGTTCATAGTACTTTCAGAGGTGGTTGTAAATCAAAGTATATATGAAAGTGCTTTGTAGTATACTGATGAATGTGAGTGGTTTTATGCAAAGGACTTCCAGGTAGTTCATGGACTTATCTCTGTTATTAAATAATGTTATGACAATATTATGTGATAATATACTTTTGTTTTCATATGAATTATTTACATTTGAAAGAGTATGGAGTCTTTTGTCTTTTCAGGGTACGTAGGGACCAAAGAAATCCCACATTATTGGTTCATAGAGTTTGTTTCCTGAATTTTTTCCTTTGGAGAGTAAAACACTATCTTTTTTTTTTTCCTGAGGAAGATTTGCCCTGAGCTCACATCTGTGCCCATCTTCCTCTATTTTATATGTGGGACGCCTGCCACAGCATGGCTTGATAAGCAGCACTAGGTATGCACCTGGGATCCGAACCTGTGAACCCCGGGCCACTGAAGTGGAGCGTGCGAACTTGACCACTATGCCACTGGGCCAGCCCCTACACTGTCTATTTTTAAAGGAATTTTTTTCTTTTCAAAAGAATCAATACCATCATGCTTTCCTCAAAATTGGGTTTATCTTAGAGTACAAAAGGTGATCTCCCACCCCAAGGTTTTTTTACAAACTGGTTTCTTAGGGTCTTGGGTTCTGATTCTGTCACTTGAAACAGTCTTAAAACTGGATATGGCAAAGAGCTCAGAAACTTACTGGAGATGGTGGAACCTGGTTGGGATGACTGGCCCTGCTCTGTTTTGCCGGTCCAGGTTGGCTTTAATCACTGCCACCTGCCAAGTGTCCAGCTGGTATCCTTTTGAGCCTAGCTAATTCTGTCTGCCTTACTCTGTCTTGCCCTGCCCTGGGAATACAGACAAGCTCTTAGGATCCTGAGAAATCTGGGTTTTAGGGAGATATTTTGAGGATGACCTGAAAGACCTTTGGTTTGGGCAGATTTGGAATGAAAACAAGGCTCAGAGAGCTGCTGGGAGGTGTTAAGGAGATTTCTCTTTAATTATTGCCTCTAATGGCCACTGTACATACTTAAAGAGACCTTAAAAAGAGTGAGGGAGAGGGGCTGGCCCCGTGGCCGAGTGGTTAAGTTCACGCGCTCCGCTGCAGGCGGCCCAGTGTTTCATCGGTTGGAATCCTGGGCGCGGACATGGCACTGCTCATCAAACCATGCTGAGGCAGCGTCCCACATGCCACAACTAGGAGGACCCACAATGAAGAATATACAACTATGTACTAGGGGGCTTTGGGGAGAAAAACGAAAAAAATAAAATCTTTAAAAAAAAAAAAAAGAGTGAGGGAGAGTTGACATTTTGGGTGTGTCTTATAGGAAGCAAAAACTAAAATTTTTTAGCCTGCAGTGCTGGACCCGTTATATATATGCATCATCCCATTACTGTTACATGCTTAACTGTAGTCACTCTGTAGAGATTCTGATAGTAATTCAGGAAGAATAATAAGATGTACTTTTATTACTAAAATGGTGTTGTCTGTTACGCCAAGTAGTCTCTCCATGTACTATTTAGGTAACAACTATTTATTGGACATGGCCTAGGTACCAAAAGATGCACTGCCTTCTCACTGGGCTGTAAATTTGTTGGGGAGATAAGATACATAATACTTGTGGCAGTTATGGAAGAGCAGTGTGGGGGAGGGGAAGAGCAGACATGTGCTGCGTCTGTTTGTATTAGTTCTGTGACCTTAGACAACCTGAGTCCCAGTTTCCTCATCTGTGAAGTGGAGACAATACCACGTACTTTGCAGGGGTGACTGTAAGAATTTTTTTTTTTGACTTACAAAGCTACTTTTAATACTTTGGGGTGAGCCCCACAGGAATAAAAAACACTGGGAAGGGGTAACCTCCTCACCCCCAGGAGTGGCCCAGGGGGAGAGAGGCTACCTGAGGGCAAGGAAACACAAAAGGGACCCGCTGCAGACTCAGGGCAAAGGGAATGCCATCGGTGCTGGGACCTGTGAGCACTACAGGAGAAAACGCGAGCGTGGTGGGACTGGCTCCAGGCACACAGGCGAAGGGCAAGAGGGTTGGACACGAAGCCACAAAGCTACTTGGGTTCCTCCTCCTTCTCGTTTGCCTTTTTCTGCTTCTGCTGCACGATCTCCGAGTCCCTCTGCTTGCGGGCGGCAGCAGAAAGCCCGTTATCTCGGCGCTTTCCCTTACCCGAGTCGCTCTGCTTTTTCATATTCTTCTGGCGGGCGAGCTCGCGCTGGTTACCGCGCGTCATGGCGACGGTAGTGGCTCCGGCCTGCCTCTCTTGCGTCCCCTCGTTCAGTCCGACGTTGCAGGCCCCAGAATTTTTTAAGATTTAATGCATATAAAGCACCCAGGAGAGTGCCTGGAACATAATGGATACCAAACAAGTGGTAGCTACTGTTATTGTTAATGTAGAGCATAGAAGTAATACAACTTAAACACATTAGAACCTATTCCAATGATGCCGCCATTTCTTCAAATAGGCTTTTGACATTACCTCCAACTTGGCGGCAAAGTTTTCTCTTTTATGGATGAATGTGACTTTTGAAAATGGCCAAAAAGCAGAGTCAGACGTAGGTACGAATATTTTTGTTGTTGTTGGTGGGGCGACCTCAGAGATGTCTAGCTATCATATAATAATATTTATGGATCTGTCTGATGAACTGGGTTTGCAGGCAGTTCCAAAAGAGGTATTGCCAATTTTTTTGAGCAACATGACTTTCCTTGGAGAAACGTAACTTCCTCAAATGTATTTCATTTTAGTCTGTGCTATTAAATGCTAGAATAAGTGACGTAACCTATATATGGTGTGGGAGAGCAAAGAAGGAGGGGCTCAGAATAGAGTGGATTGCTTTGGGAAAACCTGGAGAAGATGGGACTTGAGTTGAACCTTAAAGGATAGGTAGGATTTGGTAGTAAGGGAAGAGGCACGCTATTTCAGAGTATTGTGAGGGAGTCACAAGAGCAAAACATATCTAATTTGGTTTATTCAGCAAACGTCGTTTGGGTACTTCCCTTGTGCTGTACATTCGGCTAAGCTTGGGAACACCAGTGAATGGACACTGCTCTGACTTTAAGGAATACACACAGTGTACTGGGAAAGAAGCACATGTAATGAATAATTATAATTCAGTATAGCAGAGTGGTAGAGAGTTACAGAGGCGACAGTGGAAGTGCAGAAGAGGCTACCCAGCCCAGCCTAGGAATTAAGAAAGGAATAAGAGAAGGTGAGATCAGGCTGACCGATGGGGAGGTTACAGTGTAAAAAAGGAGGATAATTGGATGAGACCCAGTTGGGGATGTAGGAAATGCAAAGGCCTTGAAAAAGTTTGGGCAAGTTATTTTGGGGAGATTAGTGAGTTGGTGGTATGCAGAATGGATTGGAAAGGTAAGAGATTAGAAGCCAAGAGAACATTTGGGAGGCTTTTTGCAGTGGAACAGGCTAAATATGAGAAGACCCTGAACTGTGGAGGAAGGCATGGAAAAGCAGGAAAAAAGTCATCAAGAATGGGTAGAGGGGCCGGCTCCGTGGCAGAGTGGTTAAGTCCACACCCTCAGCTTCGGTAGCCCAGGATTTCACTGGTTCGAATCCTGAGCATGGACGTGGCACTGCTCTTCAGGCCATGTTGAGGCGGTGTCCCACGTGCCACAGCTAGAAGGACCCACAACTAAAATATACAGCTGTGTACTGGAGGGATTTGGGGAGGAAAAGCAAAAAAAAAAAAAAAAAAATAGGTAGAGTTCCTGACTGACTTCTCATGGGAAATGAAAAAGGGTCATACCTTTATCCTGAACTTCGGTTTCTGGAAGAATAGTGATGCTGTTAAAGAAGTGGGGATGAGAGGAGTGTGAATACGCTATTTAACATGCTGCACAGAGGCTCACAGAGCCCAGTTCTTTGGGAAAGCACCCAGGCACTCTTTTAGTCCGTGTCTCTCAAATCCCTCTACTCCTCACCATCTCTACCTCCAAACCTAACTGCTCTGGATTTTAATTGCAGCTCCTCCACCCCCTCCACCCATGATCCGAAATGGTGCCAGGGACGCTCCTCCTCCCCCGCCACCATACCGAATGCATGGGTCAGAGCCCCTGAGCCGAGGAAAGCCCCCACCTCCGCCCTCCAGGACGCCAGCTGGGCCACCCCCTCCTCCTCCACCACCCCTGAGGAATGGCCACAGAGATTCAATTACCACTGTTCGATCTTTCTTGGGTGAGTAGCTAGTTCGCTGTTTTAGTCTCATAGTTCCAGTGGTGACGTTGCTAATTCCAGTGGCTACTGTAGAGTGGGATGATCACTCTGTATCCTCCATTCACAGCTGTTCCTCTCCTGACTTCACCTCAGACTTCCAGGCCCTGTTTATTGACATCCCTTTCCGTATGCGAATTCTAGGCATGGAATAGGCTTTGGAAAAGATTGAAGTAAAATCAGCAAGTGTCGTGCTAACTCTAAAGCCACCCATATCTGTGGTTAGCTTTTAGGTCAGAGACTTATCCTCTTTAGGATTATTCAGATAGGACTTATGTATTCTCTTAGGAAGAAGAGCTCCTTTCTGGCCCTTTAAAAACAAAACTAAACACTGTGCACAACATTTATCTAGTAATCCAAAGCTACTAACTAGTTGGGTTACTTTGAGGAAGTCACTTCCCTATCTGTGAAACAAGGAGGTTGACTAGATTATGAGTGTATCAGCTTAAATTTTCCAAAGTTGTAAATGAAGCTTGGGCTACACCTAAGAGATTCTAATTCATTAGATCCTGGATGGAGCCCCAGGCAAAGGTTGTCCAGAGGGTATGTTAGACCCTCTGTTGAGGACCCCTGGAAAGATCTATATGGCCTCTGTCAGCCCTAACACTCTAGATTCTTTTATAGTTGACTCTTCTCTGCCCCTGCTCTAGTCTGTTCCTATTAGGTGGACCAGAGTTTTTGCTTTGAAGATATGTCCTTTGGAATGTGATCGAGCTATACAACTAGAAGATTTGAGCCTTCCTGTAGAGGGGCTGTGGAAAGTGGGAGTGGGGGTCATGGGATGGCTCTCCCAACTGTGTTGCAGACCTAAATGAGAGTGACCTGGGCCCAAAAGAGAATTATCTAATCAGATCTCTCACTGGCTGGTGACAAATATTCCCATTTTAGGTTAATTTCTACAAATTTGTGGATTCAGTTCATTTGGTTTCCCATGGTGATATTCTGTAAGATGACTATGTTATAGAAACACAGAACCATAATTTCTTTCTGCTCTCATGCAAACAGCTGGGCTCCTTTCCTGTTGTGTGCCTGATTTTTGATAGGAAGATTTAAAGAATCAGCTCAAAGACTCATTCTTTAATGTAAAGAGCTTTTGAGCACGTCCTCTTTGCATATGAGGCACATGGAGTGATGCTGTTACTGTCCTCAGGCACCTTGGTTTACAGGGCAAGGCAGGCCCTCATAGTACATCCGAATGCATGAGAGACTAGTAAAGGGGAGATCAGAAGTGGTACAGAGGCGTGTGGGCTCACAAGAAAGGGTGATAGGAATTAATATTCTGTTCCTTTCACAGATGATTTTGAGTCAAAGTATTCTTTCCACCCAGTAGAAGACTTTCCTGCTCCAGAAGAATATAAACACTTTCAGAGAATATATCCCAGCAAAACAAACCGAGGTGAGAGGAGTAGTGATGAAAATTTTTCCATAAGTGCATAGAATGTAGAATTGGTGTCCTTTTCTTAGGTTAAAAATTGCTTTTCCTCATCTTCATTTTCTTAAAAAAACAACAAAACATAGTCCCCAAGTTGTAAAGGTTAGCATAAAGAGCCTGTGGCTCATTTCAGGAATGTTTGGGTTATTCAGGGTCTGGTGGGTGACCTTGTGTGCATTATTTTTATTTTATTTTTTTCAGCTGCCCGTGGAGCCCCGCCTCTGCCACCCATTCTCAGGTGAAGCCTGGCTTGGTCCTGTTCCTCAGGAAAAGGATGGACCCTCTCCTCTTCTCAGATGGTCCCTTCCATTCCCCTGAAACCTGCATGAGAGCTCCTAACGTGTTTCTCCAGTGCAGCCAACCTCTAGACTCCAGGCTTCCTCCCTGCTCACCTCCATCTATGCATCTCGTCTCTCGACTTGGTGATCGGACTCTTTATATTGACAGTAGGGTCTCAAACCCTGCCTCCATCCCTCCTCTAGCAAGCCCTGCTAGCCAGATGAGGAAAAAGCTTCCATGTCTCCTGCTTTCCTCTTGGGGAAAGGTGCCTTGTTGTGATGAATTAACTCATTGTTGGGGCAGGATGGAGAATGGTACTCCTACATCCTCCTACCACTGTGGGGGGAACTTGGTGGGTATGTATTAGATTTCATCATTTGGGAGGCTGGAGGCTGGCATGGCCAGGACTTCTGGGGAGTGGGCATTTTTAGTGAAACAGGAAAGGAGTTTGCAGAGAAGTGATCTGTTTTAAAGGTCAAGTTTGAAGAAAGCTCAAGGAAATGGGTCTGCTTTATTTTTAGGGGTGTTTTGATTTTGCTCTCACCCCATGACTCCACCCCAGGGATAAGTTGGATATAAACACTAAATACTAATCAGTTGAACTAAACATCTAATAAAAAGAGAGGATGAAATAAACTGGGGATCCTTTTGGAGCTAGTCAGTTCCTCTGAAGCAAAGGGACCAGGGGCCATCTGAGTCCTCTGGGCCTCCCTGCCCTGTTTCCTCAGGGTGCTGAGACTGAGGGATCTTTTTCCTCCTTCCCCTCACCTCCCAAGAGAAAAGTCACTTTCATTCATTCATTCCTTCCAGATTCACAAATCCCAAAAACCTCCAGTGGGGTACAGGAAGAGGACCTTGGCCTTAATCTTGAGCCTTCCTCAGTCTTTTCTGACTGGCCCTGAAGGCCACTGGCCCTTTCAGTCCTGTCTAGAAACTTCAGCCCCTGGTGGGTGCTCCAGGATGACAACGAAGGGAAGAGTGAAGCACCTCCTGGAAGGGAGCAGCTCTGTGGGCTACGAAAGACTTTAACTAAGGCCTGCTCATTCTGAAGTTCACAGCCCATCTGACTGGGCGGGCTCTTGCTGTTCCTTTCTCTACCACCCTTGCCTTCGCAAGACTGCAGGGGTTAACAACACAGAAATAGAGAAGGGCGAGGAAGTCTATGGGGGTAGTCAAAGATTCCTCTGTGCCAAGAAGCACAGAGACTTTGGTGAGGTGTGCCTAGTCCAATTGATCTTCCTTGGCAGCCAGCAGTATGTTGTTTCTTCATCTTCCAAGTTCCTAGGTAAAGAGCACAGAGAAAATGGAGGTTCCCTATGTAGGAACTGAGCTTGAATGATGGGACAAGGACTTCTCCTTCTCCAAAAGCAGGATGAGGCTCCTGAGCTCCACACACCAGATGGTTTGGTTTGCTACAGCTCTTGCCAAGTGTAGAGACTGCTCCAAGCTTGCAGAGAGGACATGGCTATTCCTTGAAATGGGTAGGGAAAGTCAGTTTAAAAACTTCACCAGATACATCACAGGCTTAAACCACCTTAGGCACATTTCCAGTCTATTGGATTGCAGACTAAGGATCTGTGCACGATGCCCGGTGAACCCCAAGTCTTCCCAATACTAGATGAGAGAGGGCTCACCTTGGCTTATTTGTGTGGGGCTGCTATCCTTTGCCATCCCCTGGACCACAGTGACTCTTGGGGCAAACCATGATTAGGTCTGTCACCAAACTTTTCCAATCATTCTTTATTTATTATTCTACTTTTAAAATCCGTTAGCAGTTATCTTCCAGCAGTATCCCCAGCATCCTGAAGCCAGTAGAGCTGTGAGAGGGGATGCTGGTGGAGGGAAAAGGAGAGAGTACAGAGTTGATAGTGCAGCAGAGTTCCAGGGTAGATACTGACCAGTTATTGAACTTGGACTGTGAAACCTTCCCATTTATTTTTTAAATGGGAGTTGATGCCTTTGTACAATTTTATCAAAGTGTATCTTTTTTCCCCCTTTACTCAGACATAGAGCATCAAACTAAGTATCACAAGTAAAAGCCAAACCCCAGCTTTTCACTGGGGCTATCTTCCCTATGACCTGCTGCTCCTCATATTCCACTACATTTGGACTGTGTCAATGGGTATTGATTGTATTTTCATTTTCTTGGCCTCATGAGAAAAGGCCTAGGCCTAGATCTAGTCAGGTGGATTTTCTTCTTCAGAACATGTTGATGACACAGTACCTACTTAAATGTCTTTGCCTTATACATTATTTGGTCCCTCTGTTAATAACAGATTTGTCATGTATATTTACTATTGAAGAATGGGAATGTGATCCTCATAGTTATTGATCTATTTTGTATGTTGTAAAAAGCTTGTAATATAGGTTTAAGGTGGGCTGGCTGCAAGAGCACTAAAACTTCTCACCTTTTAAACTGCTCTTTTTATCTGCTTGTGGGAATATCGTCTCTTCAGTGGCAGATTGGGTGGTCTCATGTTGAGGCTGTTGCCCAGTCCCATTAATCCCCTTATCCTTTCCTAGAAGGAAGAGACATTGCCCAACTAAGCATCAGGAAGCTGTGTTAAAAGCCCTTGTGTGGGTTTGGTTTTATGATGTTTTTCTCTAGTGGGAAAAGCTTAATTATTTCTTACCGCCCTTTCTGGGAAGGGGGGCAGTGGCTTCCAAGTTTTTAAATGAGCTAGATGCCCCTCTTCCCCCTCTTCTCTAGTCACCAAACCTGGATCAAAACACTTTGATATTCCAGGTGTGATTTTCTCTATTGTGGGGATTTACTCCTGCTGCAGAGAAAATGATGGCATTTTCACAGCCTGGGCCCGCAGAGTGAGAGCACTTAGGGCTACCCCACCCAATGGATGTGAGGCTGCTGTCTCCAGCAATTCACCCCAGCCCTCCCAACCGGCAGAGGCAAGGAGACTAGCCATTGGCCATTGCACTGGGGGCATCCTCTCACCCCATAGCTTCCCAACTTGAAACCCAGATTTACCTCCAGAGAGAGGTGAGAAAAAATTGTAAATAGACTTGCTACGGAGCAACTCAGGGTTGGGGTGTGTTTTAATTCTCCTGATCACTTGAATCTGTAGGCTGAGTGCTTATGGGAGTGGGGGAGAAGTGTGACTCCAGGGTCCGTCCCTTCTTCGACGTTCTGGGGGTGGAGTATAGGGCATCTGAGGCCCTTTGATCACACTACACTGAGCTGTCTGTCTTTCTGGAAACCCAACCTACAATCAACTGCAAATCAAATTCTTCACATTCCAGTTGTAGTCTTTCTTTCCCTGTTGAATCTCAGTCCCTGGCTATGTGGTCAAGATGGTTTTCTGTAAACCACCCTAATTTAGGGAATAGGAGGCATTACAACTCTGCCTTCAAGACTCATCTCTTAAAAACAAAATGAAACAAAACTACAACCACCTTCAAAACACATATAAAAAAAGGGTAACTGTTTAACCGAAGGAAGGGTTTGGTTCCATTCAACTCCGCGTTCATTGTGCCTTTACTTGTGTTAGATTTCTGTGCTTTCTTCCTCTCTCCCTCTTTGAAGCAATTAAAATCTTCCTTGATAACTGCTGTTTCCTTCTTTCTGCTTTTGTTTCCAACAAGCTAGTGGGTTCCCTCTTTAATTGTCTTAAATCTCATTCCTCTGGTGACAGAGGGGCTGAGCCTTCTTTTTTCACGTCTAACCTTTGTCCTTCCCCATGGCAACCAGCATGGAAGTCATAGTCAACACTGAATAAAAGACCAGAGTGACATTTGTGAAGAGCGTGTGTGCGTATGTGTGTGCCCATCTTTGCATGTGGATCAGTTTCTTTTCTTTTAAAAAAATAATTTATTGTATGATTTATTTTGGAGTTATATTTCTGATTACAGCGCTCCCTCTCCCAGTTAGCATTGATTTTTTTACCCCTCTACAATGTATAATCTGGTCTCAGGTTGGATTCTTTGGTACATTTCTTCTGGATGCCGTGCAGTTTAATTAAATCTTGCTTAAAAACAAAAACACAAAACTGAAAACTGTGTACTCTTGTCTGGAATACCACCCCAAGTGGTGGCATAGAGAGGAGAAAATCTGTTGCCTCAGGTTAGTGTAGGGGCTTGTCTCCAGGTCCTCTGTGAAAGCAGATATACTGACTTGGGCAGAAGCATCTGTAGCTTCCTGAGGGTTTTTTCTCCTTCCTTCCTGCTGTGTTTTGAAAATCACAGTTCTAGTTAGCCATGCTGACTGGGTGATTCTGATAGACTTGGTCATTATTTATATTTGCCACTTAACTCTCCTTTGCTCCTGATTTCAGGGAACCCAGGAGACCCTCTGGCCTGTGTCCTTTCTTTATATCCCTTACGATTCTTTCTCCGTGTTGCATGGCAGATTCTCACACTGGGGTGTGAAAGTGAAGTTGGGGGGGCAGAGCATACAAGACTGTGTGTGTCTATTTTTATGTATGTTGCCTTTCTGTCTTCACTGCTTTTTAAGTTGAAATCTTAGCTGGCTTTCTTGAACTTTGACTTTAGGTGTAAAAATTGAACCAGACATTCTCTCCTTACTGTGGTCAGCTGACTTAATCACCACTAAGACTTCATGAGCTTAACTTGCACTTTCATGACTAGCAAAGGTCTTGAAATTATTTCCCATACTGATTCATAATGGGTGTGTGTATGAATCATTCTCACATAATTTAGATATAAACTTATGAAGGTGAGGGAGGGAGGGGGGAAAAAGGCCCCCTTTCATTTTCATCATCCGTACATGCCAGATTGGATGAATTCCTGATTATTTGACCCATCATTGTTATTAATATGATAAATAAACTACCTATTTATTGATTTAATTGTTCCTCCTGTGACTTTAAATAGCCTTCAAATGGAGCTTGCCTAAATGACCCTCAGCTTCCTAACCCTATAAGCTTTTCTATGCCCTATTGGGATGGTATTGCTAGTCTGCACACGCATGTGTGTGTGTGTGTACACACACAAACAGGATGCTGAACGGGTCCTTCCAGTGTGATTTGATTCCTTCCCCCATGATACTTCGTATGAATTAGCAGCTGATAAGGGCACCAGTTTACGCACTCTAATTATTACTGGAACATAGCAGCTCATTATTGTGAATGTGCCTCTTAAGTATTTCCTGGCCCACCCCAGCCACAAACTGTGTGACTCACTTCGAGGAAGCTGCCCCTCTCTGACTTCCTGTTACTCTGCAGACAGAGGAAAGAGAACTAAAACGTCAACTTCAGGATCCTGACCACACCAGAGGATACACTGTGGGGAAATGCTTTGCCTCTGATACCGCTGGAGCCCAGTTGGGGTCGTTTTACACATAATTGAATTCATACTCCACTCCTGGGTGTAGGGGTGTAAGATTTAAAGGACTATATGCTATCCGACCACAAAAAGTGTTCGTGAAAAAGGTGGATATCCACTTGGCAGGAATGTCCTTTCTATTCATTCAGCAAGCATTATTGCATACTTTACTCTGTGCCAGGTACCTACAATATGTAGATGAATAGGACACGGTTTTTGCCTCCAAGGAACTCAGAGTCTAGTAGAAGACTTCAGGACAGCTACCAGGAGAAACCTATGTAGGGTATTAAAAGGCTTTATGGTAATTAGCCAAGGAAAGAGCTTGGTGAGTAGCATTCCAGACAGGAAACAGCGAGGACAGAGGCAGAGAAGCAAGAAACAGTCTGGTGGTATGTGCATCATGTTACTGGAGTTTTGAAAAGGGAAAGCTTCAAGTAGGTAACCTTTTAGAGATGTTTTGATCCCGACGTTCTCTGATTTCTTTGCCTGCTTTTATAGTGGTCATTTACATTGGTAGGCTTCTCTTGGACTAGTGCTGTATTCCTGGTGAAGGTGTTCATAGGCTCCAACACGTTAATGTTTGTTAAGCATGTTAAGTTCTCATAGTTTCCTCTGCTTCCTCTATCCCACCGTAAGTGAGGGAGGTGGTTCACCTCCATCCCTTAAAGCTGAGGTGCCCAGGTTATAAAAATAAATATGAACAGTAAAGGTTGCTTCCTGGGTTCTATTGTCCTATTAAGAGGTCAGAAATAGGGGCTGGCCCCGGTGGCACAGCAGTTAAGTGCGCACGTTCCGCTTTGGCAGCCCGTGGTTCGCCGGTTCGGATCCCAGGTATGGACATGGCACCGCTTGGCAAGCCATGCTGTGTTAGGTGTCCCACATAAAAAGTAGAGGAAGATGAGCACGGATGTTAGCTCAGGGCCAGCCTTCCTCAGGAAGAAAAAAAAAACGGATTGGTGGCAGATGTTGGCTCGGGGCTAATCTTCCTTAAAAAAAGTCAGAAATAACATTTGGTCAAAAAGCCTTCATTCTGTGGTAACCCTTTTTTCCATTCACAGCAGCCTAATCTCTTCAGGATGTAGTTTTCAGCTCCTGCAAAGCCTTCCCAAAATGTGCTCCTTTACCATCTCTTCCTCTTTTAGGGAAGGCCTATAGGCCACTTTAGAACCTATGCCTGTCTAATCCTTCCCCTTTGTTTAAGTGGTCAAGAGTGATCTGTCAGACTTCCTGAGTTTAAATTACAGCTCTTCCATTTACTAGTTGTGTGACCTTGGGCAAATTTACTCAACCACCTCTCTTTCAGTTTCCTCATTTGTGAAATGGAAATAATACCAACCTCATGGGGTGCTTGTGAGAATAAGTTGATATAGGTGAAATACTTGAACTCAGCCCCTGGCATACACTTAAGCACTCAATATTGGCTCTTATCTCCTGTATGAACTAACTAAATTGACTGACAATTGTAATATTGTTTTCCTACTTCTTAGCTTTATTGCTCTGTTTCATTTGATATTGAAGGATGAAAGATAAATGCTTACCATTACCTAGAGCTGGGTCCTGATCTTTAACAGAACTTGAGGCTTAACTAGGTTATTAGCTTTGGATACTGGCCTGTAAATTACTGCTCTAATTTATATTTTTCATTAAAAGCTCAGCTTGCCTCTTCTTCTATAGCAGTCTTCTCTGGCCCTGAAACCCTGGTGTTTAGCCATAAAAAAGATTTTAAAATTAAGGGGTCATAATTCTCTATACCCCCCACAGTGTGTGGATTAATGGGATTAATGATAAGGTGCACAGAATATCATATTTTAACCTTTAACAAAATAAAAGCAAAGGTCTAGCTCTATTTCTCATATTCGAAATACAAATCAGGGAGGATACTGTGATGAAGTGTAGTCTATTTCTTTATGCATGTGTAGAACTTTACAAAAGCACATTAGTTTGGCTGTCAGGGTGTCTGGGTCCTCGGCCCGTCACTGCTACCAACATGCTGTAACCTCTAATTAACCCTCCGCACATATGCCTTGAGCTTTGCAGGCTTGAGCATTAGAGAAGTAAAGCGCCTGAGGCCCGCCCAGTGACCGAGTGGTTAAGTTCGGGGGCTCTGCTTCGGTGGCCCAGGGTTTCGCCGGTTCGGCTCATGGGCGCAGACATGGCACCGCTCTTTAAGCCGCGCCAGGCGGCGTCCCGCATGCCACAACTAGAAGGACCCACAACTATGTACGGTGGGGGGCGGGGGGGGGGGGCGGCTTTGGGAGATAAAAGGAAAAACAAAATCTTTAAAAAAAAAAAGGAAGTAAAGCGCCTAGTATGGTGCCTGGCGCCCTGCACCACCCCCAAAATGGAAGGTACTATGTGGTAGCTCTTTGATATTCTAGGCAATTAGGGTAATAAACATGGGTTCCAGCAGCCGTGAGAAGGGGCAACCGACATCTTTACACCTCCCCTCGAAAGAAGGGCGTGGAAATAGAGTCCTGTGCGGCAAAGACTACATCTCCCGCCGGGCTTTGCGGCGCAGCAGTCCCTCCTTACCCAGAGCCGCAACCGCGCGTCCTTCCGCCGAGGCCCCGGATGTAGATGATCTCTTTGCTTGGAGGGCGTGGCCTCCCCGTGGCGCTGAGACCTGGGGCTCTCTTATTGGCTGTGGGCCTTCCAGCTGGATTGGACGCGAAGGAGGGGGCGTTGGCCAAGGCGCGCGGCGCTCTGGCGACACCCAATCAGAAGCCTGGTCGGGCCTTGGCGGGAGGCGGGAAAGCTGCGGCTGTGGAGATTTGGCGCGAGCGCGTCTGGGCTTTGCCGCTGCGGGTGTGTGGTTTGCTTAGGAGCTTGTCGTGGAGAATCCCTGAAGCCGTGTGCGAGAGACAGGAAGCAGCCCGCCGAGGTGACGCAGCCCGGGGAGGTGGAGAGGAGAGCATTGCTCGGGGAGGCCTGGGGTCTGGGAGGCAGCGGAGTGGGGTGAGGGCCTGCGGCGAGGACCGCGGGTTCCGACGAGGCCCGAGGTGAAGCGTGGGGAGGAGAGCTCATCGCGGGAGGTCTGGGGTCGCGGCAAGGGCAGGGGGCTGCGCGCCCTCGGAGTAGTCTGGCAGTGTGCGTGGGGTAAAGGAGCTCAATGTGGTAGGAAGGCGGTGTTCCGGGCGGGGGCCGAAAGGTGTGTGGAGTGGGCACTCCGTGCAGAGTGAGGACTTGGGGCAGACTGTGAATGTGGAAGGTTGCTGGGCTAAGCTGGTGATAAAGATAGGTCCCGTCCCTGGAGTGAGGGCATTAGGAGTGTTCTAGAAGTCAATTAAGATAAACTTCTTATTTCATTGCTCAGCTGGTTTAGAACTTGGGCTCTGGAGCCAGAAGGCCTGGGCTTATATCCCTGCTTTGCTGTGTCTTTGGGCCGCTGTGTTCTCAGTTTTCTCATCTGGAAGATGAGGGTACTAGTAGGACCTACCTCTAAGGTGGGTGTAGAACTTAAATGAGTCAATGCCTAAAATGCTTATAACAGTGTCTTACACATAGTAGGTAGACAACAGGTGTTCCCTGTTATTGCAATGCTTAGGATGTGAAGCAGCACTGAATGCGAAAATATTGTTATAGCATAATTTTCGCATGAAATGAGTGTTGATCATCTGTATAAATTCCATGTTAGTTATTTTCCTTTCACTTTTGCCCATTGACCGGCTGTCCTGTTCTCTCTTTTGTACCCAGCTGTGTTGCCATCATGCCTCAAACCCGATCCCAGTCACAGGCTACAATCAGTTTTCCAAAAAAGAAGCTGTCTCGGACATTGGACAAAGCTAAAAACTCTAGTGACACCAAGGTAGCACTGACAAATGTCCAGGCCACACCCCGTCCTCCTTGTGTAAAAATTCTGCCTCTCAGCCCCAGAAAACGTCTGGGTAAGCTATCCATTATATAAGTACAACTTTTTGCCTGGTGGCTCTCGACTTCTCTTTCCTCAATAAGATGCCTAGGCCTTTGAAGCAGCTTTCTAAATTCAGCTAAGACCACTTTATTCTCTTTGGTTATGTTCAGAATGGTTGCTAAGTGCTAACTGAACTTCAGAGTTAAGCCACTTATGGAGATGATTTTCTGAACTACTTAGTAAATTTGATCTTCAGTTCTAAACACTGAACTTGGTTTTGTCAGTGTTTTAAATGACCTTGCGGTTAGTTATAAAGTATTTGGAAACTTGCCTCAGTAATTGTGAATAAGAGAAACAGGTGACATTCTTGTTTTAGAACAGTGGTTGGTAATCCTTTCTTGTTTTAGATCAAACGTTTTTGATGAGGGGTGATTTGGTTGTATCCAGAGACATTTTGGTTGTCACAACTTAGCTGGTGCTACTGGCATAATGGATAAAGGCCAAGGACGCTGCTAAATATTCTTCAATGCACAGGACAGTCCCCACAATGAAGAATTATTTGGTCCAAGATGTCAGTGGCGCCAAGATTGAGAAACCCTGTTTTAGAACAATCACAGAATTTCATCCCACTAAAACCCATTTGGTTTCTACCATATAAGAGGCAGTGGTGCCATC